AGCAGCAGCGGACAGCTAATCATTAGCCAGTTAGCCTCCATTATGGCCTGGGATCCAGCCTGGTGATAAAGAACCAAAGGACTCGGGGCTCACGGTTTAATGATCCAAAGATCAGCGCAGGATTTACGGGCTCGGAGGTTTCCACCACGGCACCCTGGACAAAAGCCTCCTCCATGCCTTCATCTACTTCAGCCGAGGGATTGAGTTCATAAAACCAGAAACAACGTTGGAAAAGTAATGAAATTTCTCAGCTTGTGGAGAGAAAAATTAAAATAAAGGAGACATCAATCGCCGGGGCAAAGCTTCCACTTGATGAGATGATAAATAAAAGCGAGGTGCCAAGAACAAACATTTCACACACCAGGAGTTTTACAGTGCCGTCAGCAGCCCTCGTATTTAATTTGCTTTGAAGAACTTGACATCGTTGTGCACTCGGAATTTATAGGCGTTCGGTGGAAACTCAATCCAACCGTTTTCCGGGCCAGGAGGATCAACTCCGATCGCATTTTATTGAGTGTGAGCCACCTGCTGATGTTTGAAAACGAAGACTAAACCTCCACTAAAGCTCGTAGAGGATGCAATCCATAACTGACAGACATTTATATGTTGCAAGTTCTGTGCAACAGCGGAAATCCTTCACGAAGACACACTGTCAGACTGTCTGCCTCTCGCTCTCAGATCAGCTCTTTACAGTTTTCAGACTTCTTCCTCTACATGTGGAGGGATACAAGACACCAGGGTTCATTCGAGCATCTCAAAAGAGCCCAGTTAACCCGGTGACCCTGCTCAAACAATACAGCCACAGTTATTTCTCCCCTGGACTGTGTTCCTGCAAAACACTAGAACAACAGTGCTCTCAATATGTTTTACAGCAGCCAATTAACCGAGAAGCTTAACCAGAAAGTGAGGTTTGTAGTTGATGTTTGAAATATAACTGTCAGGTGCCTTTTATTGCATGTACAATAAGCCTCGAGTAAGGCCATTTCTTGCAACCAGATGCAGAGCAAGTGGGTTGCAAGGGCCACTCTGGAAAATCTGATTGCCAACCCCAGTGGCCACCCCAAGATCCTAAACTCTGATTGGCTATTTGTGGCTTTGTCTAAGGCAGGCCTTTTGATGAAGTAAACTATTTGCTGCTCGTAGCAAGTTCTTCAATTATTCAAAGGGTAATTACTTCAGTTAGATAGTTTTAAAGTTAGGTGTTAAAGTAGATCTGGTTAGTGGAGATAGAAAGGGTAATAAATGCTATTAATGTGGGTGTCAATCTTCAAACTTCAGGCCACCCCTGCCGAAGTCTTTGTTGAGTTTGGTCACCCCAAGATCCAAAACGTCTGGCTCTGCCACTGCTGGCTACACAACTATAATCCATTTTAGAACAAAGCAACTGTGTTTACCAAATACATTTCTGAGAAGATGCAACCACAGAGAGTTCTTGCTTTACTTTTAATTTTAGAGACTGTAGCTATTGTTTTTTTTTGTTTTTTTTATTAAGTTCTATGCAGATTAATTTTTATCACTAAATCACAGCTAAAAATGAAAAATACAGATGGCATCGGAAAGAACTGAATACCTATCATCTGCAACTGGCTCCATATCTCTTCTTGCTGGTTTGCTGCTCACACGTTCCAATCATTTAAACTTTCCACACATTCCCTTGAGAGACTGTCCATTGGTAACGATAAGACCAAGATCTTAAAGCAGCTGTTGATTACTCTGGGGGGGGGGGGAGACTTGAAATTCCAATAGATAAAGAAATAAAAAGTCCTAATTTGTAGCAAGCTGATGGTTTGTGCTAAGATGCTAATAAGCAATTAGTCCACTGAAAGCCTGAACCTAATCCTGCTTTAACAATGGTTACATACATGCGGACCGGACCGACCTGGCATGGAAACCACGTTCTTGAGTCTCCTCATCAGATCTTGAGCCATTCTGGATTTCCACCAGTAGATCAAATTATATTTGAGCCCAATTGATGACATCATCAGTTGGCATGTGCTTTAAAACTATGATAAAAGCAATTTTTACTCATCTCAGGAGACCCTCTCCATCACCATCACCTCCGTCACCACCCCCCCTGTGTGGAGTGAATGGCTCCTCTGTGAGCCAGGCCAAGGATCTGCCAGCGGCCCCCTCTCTTTGTGAGCTGAATGGGCACGGCTCAGCCACGTTTTAAGGCGCCCTAATGTACCATGGCTGCACCACAAAGGCAGCGTGGTAATTTGCCAAGGATAATGACGCTCCTTTAATTCGGGCCTAGGGGCCACAAACAGAGAGCTTTAGAGAGAATCCCCGATCCAGGGATGAGTCCTCTGTCCCCAACTTTTTAAAAACTTTTCTCTCTCTCTCTCTCTCTCTAGGTCTACCTCTTCTCGCTCTTATTGGCCTGAAAGGAGCTTGTTTTCTTCCGGCTTATTGTCATCCTGAACTAAATATCAGCAAACAACAGCAGGGCTGAAGAAGACAACATGCCAACCACGACTGGAGCGGCTGATCTCCTCTCAGAGGAGCAGAGAGAACCAAGACAAACAGCGATGGAGCTTCCAGAGAGGGAGCACCGCTGCTCTGCTCCAATGACACATATTAGGGAGAGACATTTAGGCCACAAATTGAATCGAGCAGAGTAAGTGAGATGGAGGCGAGCCCTAAGCACGGGGAGTAGAACAACAGAGCGTAAGCAAATGCCAGCTCTGGCCTTCAGGGATATTAAATACAGAGAGCGAGAGGAGGGGGGGAGTGGAGCAGAAGCTCCGACCACTTGTTTTTCCAAGATGAATTGGCATGTGTCCTTTTTCACAGTCTCATTTTTGGTATTAAAGGTTTGTTTGAGGAGACAAAGGTTCAGTGTAAGGTTTGAAATGGTTTCATTTACGTGGGCAAAAAAATACCATTATCAGGGATGAACCCTAAATAAACTTATCTAAACAGAAAGATCTGAGAACTGATGGTAGATGGTTACCAATTCAGTCTGGCAAATTAATCAAAAGGTACATTTTACAGGATGACAATATTTCACAATGTACACATTCAGAATAGTCTGAAAAGCATCCTTTGTTAAATCTCCAGCAATTTATGATTGGCAAATTTTACTCTCATCTGATCAGCCTTCAGCAGAAAAGCAGAAAAACACAAGTTTTAAGCAACGACAGAACGCAACATGTCTTGAGGCAATATGTTGGTTTAGTGTTCTCATAAACTTGTTTGTTCACATAATCTCTAATTACGCCTGAAGGAAGAGAACAGTATGGGTATGATCTATTAATATACATAAATCATGGCGTTCTGGTTCCGATGCAAACAAAGCCGCACTCAATTACTAGAAACACCAGACAGAAGTAATGGATTGTTTCCCCATTAAACAGATACCCAAAGGTACTCACTTAACGTACACTTTTGGATAGTTAAGTCCAGGCGAGGACGGCTGGTTTGAACAGGGAAGAAGGGCTATGACCTTTCTTTCCTATACCATAAAGATGAGAAAATGATTCTTTAAATAACTTACAAGATGCTGTTTTAAAATGTTATACTATAAAACCAAACAGCTGATCGGTGAGATTCAGGCGGACCAACACTGAGATTACATGGTGTGCTGAAATAGTGCTAACACAAAGTTTCTTGCAAGCGGGAAAATAAAAGGGCTAAGATTGTTTTCGACGTCGCTTACGTTTGCCAAGATGCTGTTTTTTTTTAGCATAAAATTAGCTAAATTACATGGAGCAAAAAGCCCCGACTACATAGCCATAAGGCCTTACTATTGAAGAGTACCTTATAAGACCCCACTTCAAAAATACAGAACTTTCTCTTTATTGGCAAGTTCCATGATGTGTTATTGTTCTTCCCTTCTCTATATTGCTCTGCTACTGTTTCATCAGGCATCACAGGAGTCAATACGGACAGAGCAACCAGACTGGTTCATTATGCAACAACATGGGACGCACACAAATACAACCACAGCTGTTAAGAGTGCATTAAGGCCGGTCAGATTTCTGTTCCCACTCTAGCAACAAAGTAGAGGTCCATATTAGTGGACACATTATTGTCAAGTGATGTATCCCTCTTGTTACTGTTCAGTTGTTCTACAGTGTAGATGGATAATTACGTTGTTTTTTTTCTAATTACGTACAGTGAAAATTGTAATGTTTCACTTCTTTAACCACATCCTGAAGATATATTTCATTAAGCATATCCAGTTCATAATAAACGCAGGTGTGCCTGCTAGTGGTACCAGGTTGTTGACTTCTAAATTTAGCGGTTTTTAATCGCAAGGTGTGCAACAATGGCTCACTGGTGACAGCGTTACAGTAAAATCGAATTATCAGCAGTCATACAAATGCAATGAAAGCGACTCCGGTCTGTTCTGGCGCAGGTGATGTCAAGAGGTGGTGTGTACTCGTGTCACAGCTGATCTGAACAATTATTTCACTGTTCAGTATCAATTAGGCTCAAGGATGTCTGCACCAGAGAGAGAGAGAGAGAGAGAGAGAGAGAGAGAGAGAGACAGACAGACAGAGATAAATAGAAATAGAGAGAGAGAGGTAAAACTCTGCCATTAACAACCACAAAAAGCAACTCCATCCCTCCCTCCACCTCTCTTATCCTCCTCTCTTCCGCCTCCACTGCTCTACTCTCGCAGTCGCAGCAGCTTTTCAAATCACTTCAATCAGTCAGAATAAAAGGGCTTTCACCAAAAGAGCTGCCTTACCTTTACTACAAAGGCCAGAGAGAATTTGAAGTGAGGGAAGACAGACATTTAGAGATATGGAGAATTACAGAGAAAAAGAGAGAAAGTAATCCCTCAGTCTCTGGATTTCAACAGGACCAGACAAAAAGTTTGAAATTTGTAAGCAAAATTTTTGCACACAAGACAAAAAAAAAAAAAAAAAAAACTAGCTTAGGAACAAATACAAAGCAAGAAATTCAGGCCAAGGAGGCAGAAACTAATCGAAGAAATGCACAAAAGTGGGGAGAAAACTTTTGAATGAAGAAGATGAAAGTGTACTCACCAGCTAAGCATCACGGGGGCGTTGAGAGGGGGCTGAGGGGGGCCGTCTGTCCTTTTCAAACTGATTCTGGAAGTAGGGAAAGGGGAGAAGGAGAGAAAAGGGGGAGGGGGAGGGGTGAGTCTTTCACTATTGCTGCTCATAAGCAGAGCGCAGAGCCACAAAGAAGTGCTGGCGCTCTCGTAAACAAACCGCCAACTTTTCAATGGAGCGGAGAAGGCGGAGCAGGAACGGCTTTTAAACCCAGATTTCATGGGGTTTGGGGGGGTGGGGCGGGGGCGAAAAGAGGAACCTGTGAGGTGCCTTTACATCGAGTTAAGGCCCTAACCGGACAATAACAAACCAGGCAGTTCAACACAGTTCAAACACATTAAAGCCATAAAGACTACAGAACGCATGAAGCCTCAAAGTGCATGCAGAACGACAGCTGGATTATGTTTAGCTGTAAATTACCAACATGGATGTAAATGAGGTGAACAGACGCCTAATTATGTTGAATCAAACACTAATATGCAGAGAGCCGTTTGGGTTCCAAGCTTTTTGATCTCAACGCTACATAGCAAATTGGAACAAATAGCCCTGGTCGGTTTCTACGGCAACCTGAAAGAGCTGCTCGGACTCGTCATCCCTCTTGGGGTGTCAGAGGCCGTGATGTGGCTGCTGTTCCCTTCACTTTACACGGAACAGGAAGAATTAATAAAGGAGGGATTGATTATTGTCATCTTATTGCTCCAGTGAGAGAGTCTGCGTTTAATTAAGTGCTTAAACTTTTTTTTTTTTTTTTTTTTTACCATTGAGATATTTAGAAAATAAATACTTTAAACTTAATCCTGTCAGCTCAGGTAAACATGACACCTATCTCCTAATATTTGGTGGCCTCAAGAAGAGGGTAAAAAAGCTCCACTTCTGGTTACTTTAATAGTGTTGAACCCTTGAAGGTGACTTCATTACTTCTATTGTTTAAGACGTAGTCTCTGTGACATCACCAATTGGTTTCTAAAGAGGCGTCATGAAGCCCAACAATGGCCATGCCACAACAACTGACAGTCTAACCAGCCATGCCCTTAAATATGTAAATTAACATGTGTTTTAACATTAGTCCAAATGGGGATTTGTTTCTCCTTGTTCGTCCCTCATGTGAAGTGTCTTTACCTTGATGGGGTCCAAGCTATTATTATTACAAATTATGAAGTCACCTTGACAGATATTATAAATTAGGCAATTTTGCCTTGACAACTGTGTGAACTTTTGTGAATTTATTAAGTTTATTTGATTTTTTTTATATCATTTTTGCTTAAAAATGTTCTGGTTTTATGTAAATACTTCTTCTAGTGAGATCAATACGGGGAAAACTTTACCTAAAGAATAAATCCTTGATCCATACCGGGATAATTTGAATTCAATCTGAAAGTATTTTCACAAAGTGAGCGATCCATTGCTTTATTGTGTTATAATAAACTATACATTACTGGTATATTGCTTTGCTTGTATGATTGTCAAGTCTTGTGTGGTCATTGTATATATCCATTGTTAAGTTGGAGTTTTTATGTATTTAAAATGCCCCATGCAAAAACCCATAAACAAACAACTGATAAATGGCCATTAAATCTTGATGTCCAAGATATCAAACAGGACCACATTGTCCAGTATCTAATTTACAATCACTTGTTTTGTCCAAAAACCAAAAGCACAAATTTGAGCTGCTAAAATGGCATTTGTTTTCATTACAGGAAATAAATATATGATAAAAATTTATATAATTTGTTTGAATCCAAAGTTCTTCTTCCAAATTCTGCAGCTTAATGTTCAACATCCACAAACCCAGGTATCCATACTCAGTAAATGGGATTTTCCATGGAGCTAAGCTGAGAATTTAGGGCTGAGCAGCAGGAAGCGTCCGCTCTAACAACAAAAAAAAGGCTCCCCATAATCTCCGAAGTCAGTGTGGGATCAGGCTTTATTCACCGCAACAAGTGAGAGGGAAGAATTCTCATAAACTGCTTAGTCTGTGACCTATAGTCTTACTCCCTTTCAGACATACACATGCTCGCAAACACACACACACACACACACACACACACACACATAAAAATGTCCTGCCGTGCAGCCTCCACACCAGACAGTCAGACAAACAAAGTCTGGAAGGACTCAACCCTGCTCAAGTTCAGTAAAACTTTATTGTCCAGATCACTGACAGGTTGATGATGTGATGTAGATCACACGGCAGGGAGGTGATTTAAGTACTCAAAACACAACATAGAAAGCGCCTTGGACCTTCTCTTCATAAGAAGGAGGACATTCCTGTGCAATTGACGTAACAAATTCCAGGCCAATTATTTTGAAATAGCAGAAAAATGACCCGAAACCTCCTGTGTAGACAAACCCAGACATCAGTAGAGAAAGGTAAAGAAAGATTTCTTTTTTCAAGTTTGTGATTGTTTTGACTGCAAACACAGTCATTGGACACCGTTGCATGCTAGCACAAGTAGCACACCTCTTAATGCAGTTCCATGAGTAACCACTCAAGGCTGGGCTTGAAAGTGAGTCAACCCCTGTTACAAAAACACTCTCAGGCTATTTCTCCCCTAAACATGGTGTCTTCTGGCAGAGAAAAACCAAATAGCAAACAACAAACTCATCAATACAGTAATTCACAAACCTTGTGATGTCATGGTTGCAACATCAACTTTTTTTTTTTTTTTTACACAATCTATAGCCAATCTGAGCCTCAGACTCCCCGCTCAAAGCATGTATTAACGCCTCTGTGACATCTCTACTTCATTATGAATGTCACAGAGCTGTAATTAAGGACAGAGTGATCCCACCTCGGTACTGCCATTGGAGGTATTAACAGAGGTGATCTGCGCTGTGTATATGGAGCTCTAAGTTTCTCTACACATCATGCTTCTGCAACCCTGTAGCATGGTGTGACTTCACAGACCGGTAAACCAATATTAAAACGCTGCGGAATCAATATGAAAGTACAAAGGCGTGATGATGGAGGAGCGTTGTTGGGGACGTCGTTGGGGAAATCCCCTCTGAAAATGTCTTATTTCAATAGTTTTCTTTTATGTCATATGAAAAACTGTTTAAAATACCCTGCTATGGTTAATCTTTTGTTAGAAAGGAAGTGTAAAATTAAAACGACTTCCCAACAGATTGACATCGCCTAGAGCTGTGTCACTAGCTGAGCTAATAGCTCTTTCTAGCAGCAGAGCATTTTGACACAGCAGGAATAGCACAGATTTAATGTAATAGCATTATTAACAAGGATATTTTGGGCCCTCAGAGTTTAGTTCCTCAGAAAGTCTTCAGTTATTCATCTTCTGATATTCTGTATTAATGACTTAATTCCTCTTGAGATGGTGAGTTCACACACACATTCACACGAACATAGACTGATAGCATATTTATAGCCGTAATTAGAAAAGCTTTTTTTTTTTTTTTTCTCCTGTTTTGCCACTTTTCTGATCTTGAATCAGGCCTTGAAAGTCATCTGGCTGTTAGGCAGGCAGGCAGTGTGTGTTTCTTTGTGCGTGTGTTCTCATTGTGTGTGCTGAACTTGAGATGCTCTATAACCAGCAGCCCTTTAGATAACAGCAGGAGACCGACGGAGCAGTCAGGAGGTTCAGTTCACGCCCTTGCGCTCCAATCTGAAACTTTCTTTAGCCTGTTTTTAAACTTCTGCAGCTCGCCGGAGTGCATCCTCCTTTTTTTTTTTTTTTTTTCTGTCCATAAGAAGTGGTTATCAACGGTCGCCATCTGATCCAGCAGGGAAAATCAAATTCTCCTAATTAAGCGTCGGTTGCTGCTAACTGAATCAGACAGTTTAATGAAGACTTAGCGGGAAGTAGGTGAAGAGGCGACTTACAAAACAGCACGAGCACACAACTAAATAACTCCTGGAGTGTATCTGTCTCGCTCACACACACAGAAGTACACACACACACATTCACACTGTATACTTGTGTAGAGTAATGTTGCTTCTGCAGGGAGAAAAGGAAATTTGTCTAATTAGGCACGAATTACTGCCTGCAGCTCTTCAGTTTACATCAGACTGTAGCAGGATGCTGCTGCTAAACAAAGTTCTTTTTCCTACTGCCACGCTGCATCCGAGTTTCTACTGAACAAGGACACACTCCATGATATAAACTCACACAGTGGCAATCCAAAAAAAAATCCCTTAATGCTTCTATAGTCCTTCAAACTCTCTCATGTTCTCACCAATAGACTCTTATTTTTTTAGGAGCTGGACTTCACACAGTTTTCTGGACTTGTGCAAACTTGAGCTGAGGTTTATCTTCACCAGGCTCTGATGTAGAGCCATTTTTTGGTAACACGCTCGCGGTTGGAGGTTTGAGCCGCAGCTGTGCGAAAATGGCTAAATGGCAGAGAAACCTTCCTTTTGTCGCAGCACTTTTCTGAATTTACAAGGATCCCAAAAAGCATTCCAAAAAACAAAGCAGCAACTGGATGGAGGCAAGTAAGACAATCTGCGTCCGCTGCTACCGCACTGTAAATATTGTGTTTTTGACTAGCTAACGTAGGGTAAGCAACATCAATGTTAGCACTACTAAAGTATTAAGCTGATAAAATAATCAATTTGCTGGTATCAATTTTATTGGCTCTATTAATGAAACAGAAATGATGAACACATGAAATGATATAGGAGCTTGAACAGAGAGCGACACCGCTAACGTTGTCAGTGTGTCTCTAACATCGCCTGCTATAAATAAGACTTTTAATAATTTCCCTTTATGAATAAAAAAAACCCACAAATGATCTGTGAGTTATGTATGTCAATATACTTACAATCTATCAAGTTGAATATTGCAGATTGAATTAAATACATTTTATACAAACGAGGACTGAAAGATAAATATTGCAAAATTCCCTCATGCACTGAGTTAACACAGACTGAGAGCACACAGGGCTTCTCTCTGCTCTGTTGTGCTGTTTCTCTTTCCCCTCACATTCAGCCCAGTAAACAACGTGTCGGGCCAGATAAACCATGTAATGACACTGTTTTTGAATTGCCTCGAGTTCACTGACCGACACAAATACCAGTA